CTATGAATACGGTGACAGCATATTTACAGGATAACCGAATCTTGACTGATCCTAACATTGAGAAGTTTCTAGGAAGCAAATGGAGCCTCATTTTCTAATGTTTTCTCCATCATTCACATGTTAAAAGTCATGGATTTTGTGTTTATTATTGAAGGAAAAAATGACACTATTAAAATATGCTTACAAGGACAATGGAGTTTGGATAGTATCATGTATGTTAATAAAAGAAAAAATTATGTATAGGTCAAATGAAGTAGATTTATTTATAAATAAATCTCATGAAATTTAAAAATCATAACCAAACTTTTTAAGATTTGAGTATAATTTGAAATTTGTGTAAAAAGATAATAACAGCCTTATTAAAAATACATTATATTAATCAAATGAATTACAATTCCTTTATTAGTAATTTACCACTGTTACTTCAATTTTTTACAACTATAAAACATATCTAATACTTAAATTGATCGTGTGTTACAAGTTTAATATTAATTGTATATAACTATCTCATCAATAATTTATAACTATCACTTTAATATTTTATAACTATGATTTCATATATTTAATACTTAAACCAATCATGCATTCAGGCCAAAAACAAAAATCATGCGTTGCAAACAAATTTTAACATTAATTGTTTATAACTATTTCATTAGTAATTTATGCCTATGGCTTTAATTTTTTGTAATTGTAATTTCACATATCTAATAAGTAAGGGCACTATTATTTTTGTACCATAATTTCAAATTATGCTTAGGCTCCGAGGAGCATGGCTATGATTTTTAAATTTTACAAGATGTATTTATAAATAAATATGCTCCATGGGATCTATTTATAAATTTTCCTTAACAAAAAGCAATGTAATTATTTGGCAAGGAAAAAAAATAGACTAAAAAATTTAAAAATAAAATAAAATAAAAAAGTGCAGCATAATGAACTATATTAATGAAAATTAAACTGATTTGAAAACTAAATTGTTTTTATTTAGCTACATATATATGATAAGTCATCAATATACTTTACACATTAGATTTATTTGAGAGTTGTTTTAAAATTTAAAAGGCTAACATAATAATTTAAAAAAAAATATAAAGAGCTGATACAAAAATAAATTTACAACAATAAATTGATAATTGCTCCTCCTCCTTTTTGTTCCTTCTACGCTGTTCCTTTCTCCTCCCTATATAATAAAGGTTTAAATTATTATTCCAATATAATTTCTTCACTCTTGAAAACTTAAAGCTAGGTTAAAAATATTTTGCAATTCATTTGAAAATAAGTTTAACTTTGAGTGATATATATACTCGCATAAACTAGGTCTTATATGGTATGAAATATATGCAAATAATAAAACTCGTCACTTGTTCAATTAAATTTAACTGCAATTGTTGTGTTATATAAGAAACTCATTAAGCACCCTTCAGCCTATTGAACCCATTTAGAGACAAAAATAAGATATGTGCAAGCAAACATTCATTAGTGTATTTAATAAATTGTGAATTGTTATATAGCCACTAATAAATTTTGAAAAATAAATGCTAAATTCTTGCAACTAAATCTAAAATGACAAAAAAAATTCAAAATTTGTTACAAAAAGAAAAGAATTAGATATTGATTTTTTAGCAATTAATAGGGACATGAAAAAGGAACTCGTGTTGTGTTATCCATGCAGCTAATTTTTTCTTTTTCCTAGGAGAGAAAAATTATTACACTTTTAGATACTCACTCACACCTGAAACAAAAAGAAAAAATAAAGGAAAGAAAACAGAGAGAGAGAGAGAGAGAGAGAGAGAGAGAGAGAAGAAACACGTGTATTTTCTATAGATTCGGACACTCATCTCCTTGTTACAGCATTAATGTCATTGTGGGCCCATGGACCACATAAACCATACATGTAATCTAGATTAGGGATTTTCTTTTTTTGACCAACTCCTTCCCCATCGAAGGTAACACACGCCCTTCACTGCCTCTCTAGGCTCGAACCCGCGTTCTGCATATGGCAGGTGGGCGGCAATGCCACTATGGCACATGGCCACTAGAAGCTTATTGTAAAATTGACCCAAACATGGAAGAATTTAAACATGAATTTTCAGCTCTCAACTTAAAATTTTAGAAATAATTTGCCTAACGTATAAAATTTTTTGGAAGCATACACTTAAAAAAACAAAGAGAGATAAAAATTTGTTAATTCATTCATGTGTCAAGTGTAATACTCACATTACTTTTATCCAAAAAAAAAAAAAACTCACATTACTCATCTTTTAAAATTCAGTTTTGATTTATATTGAGAATTAATTATTTTCATCCCCATTTATAAGACACTTTTAAAAAAATTTTGACATTCTAAAATATAAAATACTTTAAGAATATTAATATTTTATTAAATAAACTTATTTTAATATTATTTTTTCTCTTTATTTAATTTTCATCCTCCCTCTTTTTAATATGATAAATAAAAGATATTTTTAAAACTTTATATTTTTACTTTAAAAAACTAAATCTATAATACCTATTTAATGAGATTTATTGATATATAAAATTTTATTTAAAAATATATTATAATTTAAAAAAGAGAGAGTATAATTTAAGTTGGACCTATCAATTTAGCTAATGAATTATGAAACCAATAATCCAGAGTAAGATCCACTCTAAAAGGAAGGAGTAAAATTACAAATTGGTTCGCACTGATTTAAAATTAATCAAATCAGCCAAAACTAATAAGATTAGTGAATAATTAAACCAATAATATTTTTTTATTTTTTCTTTATTTAGTTCAAAGTTCAAATCATGTTTAAATTCTACCCATATTAAATAAAGGAATAAAAAAGGTCAATTTATAAATCAATTAGACACAGAAATTTATTTGAAAAAATAACAATAAAATTTTTTTAAATTATGTAAATAACATATTAGTCTCTTGAAATGTCATAATTCCCTTGAAGCTTCTAGAAACTTTTTTATCATTGAAAAATTAATGTAAATGATTAAATTACTCTTAGTTCAAATGTTAATTGCCATTCACAAATTTTATTTTAAAATTTACAACTTTTCTTTTTAAAATTACAAGAATTCTACAATAATTTAGAAGTTCACATTTGAAGTCTTAATATTCTTCAAATGTTGCAAATATTAATTACCATTCACAAGTTTTGTTATAAGATTCACAACTATTTTCTTAAAATCACAAAAATTTAACAATAATTCACAAGTTCACATTTAAAATTTTGATATTCCTCAAGTGTTATAAATATCAATTATCATTTATAATTTTTGTTCTAATATTCATAACTTTTCTTTTTAAAATCACAAGAATGCAAAAGCAATTCGTAAGTTTACATTTAAAATCCTGAACCAAGGATAATTTAATTATTTATACTAATTATTCAATGATGGAAAAGTACTTATAGACTTCTGAGAGAAATTATGACATTTTGAGAGATTAAAATATTATTTATATATTTTAAAAAGATTTTATTATTATTTTTTCAATTTGCTTTCGGTTCCTGGCACGACAATGACATAGCATATGAGACAATGAATTCAAAGTTTCATGCATCACCATTATCGCTTCCAATCCCTCTTCTTTTTTTTTTCTTTATTTTCTTAATATAAGACTATGACAATTTGTATAAAGAGATTAAGCTTTAATCAAATTTAAAGTTAAAAAGCTTTTATAGTAATCTGATAGTTCATTTAACATCGCAGTATTGAAGTTATTGCTTGTTTTTTTGCTTGTTTTTCTTCCCTTTCCTTCCCTTTCCTATTTCTTTTTCTTTTTCTTTTTCTTTTCACTTGTTTCTGTTCCTTCATCTCTGGATATCTACAGTAAATCTATTACTTGATTGACCAAAAAAAAAATTCAATATTTGAAAATTATATTTCAATGAGAGAATGACAATAAAATTTTAAAAAAGTAAATTAATAACAATTAAATGATAAATTTTTTTAAAATAAATTATAAATATCAATTCAAATAATTATAAATAAAAATTTGAATTGTAATAAAATTATATATTTTATTATACTTAAAAATTTTAAATTTATAACTGTTTAAATAAATATTTATAAATAATTTTTTTAAAATTTTATCTAAAGCCTGATTATCACTATTTTTTCGAGACTGAAGTATTGTTCTTCCTATTTCAATTCCATCAGATATCTAGCCGTAGGCTCGTACATTTATGTGAAATAGTACAACTTTGGTCTAAATTGTACAGATACTGACATCCATATTGAATACGTTGATATTTAATTTTTAAAAATGTAAAATATGATGCATTTTTTATATGTGTATATATATTTATAAAAAATATTTAAAATATAATTTTAATTTAAAAAATATTTAAATTAGCATACCTATGTAATCTTTTATAATAATATCATGTAAAATATGATCATTAATTATATTTTTATTTTTTTATATTTAATTATTTATCACCTACTACTTATAAGTATAGTATTAATATTTCCTTCTCTTCGACTATCATAAAATTACATATTCATTTTTATAATTAAAAAAAATATAATATTTATTCTTCTATTACATTTAAAATTTATTTTTTAAGGAAAATCTAATTTTAAACTTTAACACCAAATCAAAAAATGGTATTATTAATAAAAAGTTTAACATTAAAAGTTTTAATAATTTTTTTTAATTTTTGATTTTAAGTATCGATTAACAATCTATAAGTATGAGATAGGTATTAAAAATTAAAATTTTTAAAATTAAAAATATTATTTTAATATTTTATGAATATATATTAAAAAAATCAGTAACTACTGATATTATATATATGATATTGATACGAATATATGAAATAATTTAAAATATTAGTGCGTAGTAGTTTTGGTTTGAGTAAATTAAACGACGTGAAATAGAAAAGGTAGAAAAAGCATTGGCCAAAAAAAAAAAAAAAAGGAATAGAAAAAGCATAGGCATTGACGGGTAAAGCAGGTCTTCACTTGGGTTTCCTCCGTGACTGTGTATATATCTCTCTGGTTTCTCTCTGCAGCTTGTAGTTCAATGACGTCAAATGGCACTGAGTGTGAGTAAAGAGGGAACTCAAATCTCAGATCTATTCAACAACATTCCTAGCCAGGCTGCATCCATCTAGCATTGTGCGACGAGTATTTTACATCCACCGGTTCTGGTATCATGTCTGATATTCTTTTTTCGTTTTCTTTGGCAATTATTGTACTGATTTTGATGCTGCAGATTTCAATTTTGGACACAACCGCCGAGAGATCAAGACCCTGTAATGGCGAACACTGCCCTGGGAGAATCTTCCTCAACCTCTGGTGCTCCTAATTCAAGTCTGACTTGGAAATATGACGTTTTTCTGAGTTCTAGTGGAGAAGATACTGTCTTGAAGTTTACAGATCACTTGTATCATGCTCTCACTAGACATGGGATCAGAACTTTTAGAGATGATGAAGGACTTCAGAGAGGAGAAGTTATATCAACACAGCTCATTCAAGCAATCAAGGATTCTCGCTGTGCAGTTGTGGTTCTCTCTCAAAAATATGCAGATTCCAAATGGTGTTTGAATGAACTACAACAAACTCTTGAAAGCAGGAAAGAAATGGGTGGACGAGTTTTTCCCATCTTCTATGATGTAGATCCATCTGATGTAAGAAATCAAAGAAAAAGAGTGGGAGAAGCTCTAGCCAATCATGAAAAGAGACTTAGAGGAGACACGGGCAAAACAGTGCAGATTTGGAGAAACTCTTTATCTGAAATTGGAAATATGATTGGTTGGGACGCTAGAAGTCGGTAAGTTGTTTTTCAAAATGACTTGATCATATTTCAAAGATTGTTAGTTTTAATTGTTTTTGCCTTGATCATAATAACGATTTGAATTTTAAAACTCTATTCACATCTCCACCCAATGCTTTTATTTTATTTTTATTTATTACTTTTATTCGTTTATACTGATTTTAATCTGTTCAGCAAAATAAAATTTGAAATGATGAGCAAATTAACTTAATTATAGTTCATATATCACAAATTGAAACATTTGTTGATAAGTTTTTTTTTTTGGGAGAATCATCATCGAATTTTTTATTCTAGTAGGCCATTGGATCAATTCTTGCCCACCAATTCACTATCCAATTATCTCCCTATCACCGTCTGCGACGTCATGTCTTGTTTTAGTAGACAATATTCATGAAAAGTCATATTTTGCATTGTTGTTTTATTTTACAGGCCTCAAGCCCAACTTATCGAAGAAGTAGTTGGAGAAGTATGGAAATATTTATGTTCCAAGTTACCATTTTATGATAATAATTTGGTTGGAATAGAGCGAAGAATGGTTGATCTAATGTCATGCTTGGAGATTGGGTTGGATGACATTCGCGTTGTAGGGATATGGGGTATGGGCGGCGCTGGCAAAACAACTCTTGCAAGAGTTGTTTATGAAAAAATCTCAGACAGATTTGAAATATGTTCATTTCTTCCCAATGTTAGAGAAACTCTGCAGACAAAAGGCCTAGTCTATTTGCAGAAAAGGCTTCTTTTTCGTCTTAGAATAAATGCGGAAATTCACGATGACCATGAAGGGATGGATATGATAAGAAAGCATTTCTACAATAAAAAGGTTCTTCTTGTCCTTGATGATTTAGATTGCACGACTCAATTCGAGAAGTTAGCTGAAAGTCTAGATTGGTTTGGTAAAGGTAGCAAAATAATTATCACAACGAGAAACAAGCACGTGCTTACTTCATGTGAAGCGAAAATATATGAGATGAAAGTGATGGAGGAAGATGAGTCTCTTCAACTCTTTTCGAAGGAAGCATTCAAGAAAGATGTTCCTGAAGAGGATTATTTGGAGTTGTCCAAATCTGTGGTTGCATATGCAGGAGGTCTTCCTTTGGCACTAAGCGTTTTGGGTTCTTTTCTTTTCGGAAGAAGTAAAGTTGAGTGGATCGACATTTTCAGTTCGAAGCAAATTTTGAATGAAAATATTCATCAAATCCTTAAAATAAGTTATGATGGATTAAATGAGAAAGAAAAAACAATATTTTTGGATATTGCTTGTTTTTTCAGGGGTTGGAGAAAAGATGTAGTGACCCAAGTGTTGAAAGGTTGTGATCTAAACCCTACAATTGAAATACAAGTGTTGATTGAAAGAACTTTACTGGTTGAGAGGGAAAGTCTTTTGGGATATCCCACTTTAGAGATGCACGTTTTATTTGAAGAGTTGGGTAGGGATATTATTCGCCAAGAATCTTTCAATGCTAGCAACCGTAGCAGGTTGTGGGAGTTTGAGAACATTAAGGAAGTATTGGAAAATAATACGGTGAGTACCTTTTTATTTCTAAATATTTCATTTTGTAGGCATGCAACTAATATTTTTAATATGCTTCACTTCCTTGTCATTTTCATATTAATTTTTCTGGTAACAAACCTTTTTTATTAGGGAACTGAAGCAATACGAGCTACTGCTATGCAAGGATATTATTCTTGGAACTCAAAAGAAAGAAAAGTACAGCCCAACGCTTTTTTAAAGATGATTTATATTAGATTACTCATAATAGTATACACTAATAATCAACTCATTTTGCCAAGGGAATGGAAACTTTGTAGTACATTGAAAACAAAACAAAAACTGTTATCATTTTTTGCTTTTAAAAGATGTTTCACAATATAATTTTTAATATTGTTTTTCAAAACAAAAAAATAAAAAAAATTCTAATTTTGTTAATTTAAAAATTATTTTAGAATTAAAAATCGATCGATAGTAATGATCAATTAATGGTGATGGATTATGATAATTATTGATTAATGTAACTGTAGTTTCCAAAAATGAAATGTAATGGATTTTGAAAATAAAAAAACAAAATGAAAACGGTTTTAAGATATTTCTATTTCTTGTGAGAACAATTTTAGAAACAATTAGATTTAAAATACTTATCCAAACAAGTTTTAAAATTTTTGTTTTTTAAAAACAAAAAGCTATTCTTTAAATATGAAACCAAACAACTTTCTAAATGGCTCATTTTGTTGACATAGTTCTCAAGTTTATATTTATATATACTTTTCTTTCTTACCATTTTGATATTATTTTTTTTTTGGCAATTATTAGGGATCTGAAGCAATACAAGTTATTGTTATGCAACCATTGTATGGGAGGTTGCCTAAAGTAAAAGTACACCCTGAAGCATTTTCAAAGATGAATAATATTAGATTGCTCATAATAGAAGACAGACATCATGCGCTCATCTTACCAAGGGGATTGAAATTTTCTAGTGCATTGAAAGTTGTTTGCTGGCGACAATTTCCTCTTGAAACTCTGCCACTTCCCTTGGATAAACTTGTTCATATTGAAATGCAAGACAGCAAAATAAAGAAACTTTGGAATGGTGAACAGGTGAGATTAGCACTCCATGTAACGTTATCTATTTTAAAATATATATCTTTGTGTCCATGTTTTGTTGGTATATTATTTAGTGAGGCTAACTCTCCAATCTTTTATTTGTCTAGCATATGGAAAAGTTGAAACGTATTGATCTGAGCGATTCTCACAGTTTGATTGAAACTCCAAACTTCTTAGGAGTTCCAAATTTAGAATATTTAAATCTCTCTAGGTGCGTATCCCTTGTTATGGTTCATTCCTCACTTGGAGAGTTGAAAAGACTTGTTGAGATTAACTTGAAGGGTTGTAGAAATCTTGAAATCCTACCAAGAAGATTGGAATCAAATTTTTTGGAAAGGTTAGATCTACATGAGTGTGGAAAAGTTGCGGTGCTCCCAAAGTTTGGGGAAGGTATGAATAAACTATCATATCTTGATGTGAGTAATACTGCTATGACTACACTTCCAGAATCGCTTGGTTCCTTGACTGGTCTTCGATATTTGGATTTGGGAGGGTGCAGAATTCTTGATCTTGACAAGTTGAAGACTCCCATAACTTGTCAAATTTCTAGCTTGGATGTAACTTCATTAACAGAGTTATGTTTAAATTGGTGTGGCTTGAATGATGGATCAATTCTTGATAATATTGGTGGTTTATCATCCCTCATTGCATTGGATCTAGGAGGAAATGATTTTGTTAATCTTCCCACGGGTTGCTTCTCTGGTCTCTTTGGACTTCTCTATCTTTTTTTGGATGATTGCAAAAGGCTCAAGTCATTACCATCGCTTTCAGCACGGTTGATTCGGTTAAGTGCAGCCGGCTGTGATTCAATGGAACCTTTATCAGATAGACAGTCATGGAATTTGGTTGCTTCAAGAGACCATGAGGTATGTTTGATTTCCTACAATCTATGTAATTAATGGTTTATGTGTATTTTAGTTATATATACGTGACATAATTAATTATTTATTTTAGTATCGTGGGCGAATTGAATATGTAAATACTGATGAGAGGCGTGATGACGATGATGTTCATGATGCTATATTGTTGTTCAAGAACGTTAAGGTATGGCAGTGTCTTTTTTGTGCGTATTATTGGGACATGCTCCCATTAGGGGTGTAATTAATATGAATAACAGTTAGGTATTATATTGGTGCAGTCGGAATATCTGCCACAAAGAGATTTTGTTGCAATTATGCCAGCTGTATGGGAAATACCATCATGGTGTACCAATAAAGAATATTACCCTTTGGATGAGGGAAGAAAGGAATGTGAGATAAAAGTGGACATACCTCAACATTTCCGTGAAAGTGAATGGTTAGGAATTGTTGTATGCCTCCATTTCTCAGGAGGCGCTGGTGGGATGTGGTGGAGTAGCAAAGGTGCAGAAGATGCTGATTACATACGCAAAGACTGGGCGCATGTAATTCCCATGAGGTTCTCAAAATCAACTAATCCTCAACTGTGCTGCATAATGATGGTGTTGGAATTAAATGAGAAAACATGTTGGCAACATCTAACACCTCATAACAACTCCCTTCACATTTTACTTTCTACTTTCGGAAGTCAGATCTGTCCCCCCAGCTCGCAAATATGGGGATGTGGGTGGAGAGTGATATGTAAAGAAGAGATGCAAGTGAATGTCACCCCACCACCACTACTTCCTACACCTCATCATCAGGTCATGCTTTCACAAAGACTCCTTCGTGAAGTAGTTAGAGACATGCATGTAGCAGAGAGAAAACAGGTAACATGATCACTCATCTTCATCTTACCCCGTCCCTTCTAAATTAGTTGTCATTTTAATTAGATTTTGAAAAAGAAGTTATTTCATTAAGACTTTTATATACCATCTAGTAAATGAAAAATGATAATTAATAATCAAAAAGTCTTTCCAGTGAATGAGGGTATTCAAATAAAATACCATTAATGTATTTTGATAAAACTTAATCTATTTATTAACTTTCTTAATCCATGTACAACTCCAACGTCACAATTATTTCGGTGCTCAGGGACTATTATTCTATTTAAACTCTTCTACTTTCACTTCAACCACTCTTTCTGACTACTTGCTTTTCTTTAAAATTGCTGAAAATCATTCCTAATGTAGCATTTGGATTGATAGATTTAAATTTTAGATTTAATTTTTGCATGTTAAATCTCACAATTAAAATCTATGTATTTAAAAATTATTTGGTAGTTTAAAAGTTTCAAATGAAGGAGATGGATGAGTTGAGATTCAAAACCAAAAATGAAAAAAAAAAAATAGGAAAGACAAGTTTATTTCTATTTTTTAATTGACAAATGATGAGAATGAGAATGAGGGAAGATACGAGAGTCAAAAAACTACATCAATAATAACAATACAAAGAGAACAAAAATGTTTAAATTGGTTATAATTTTAAATGACTAAAGCACAAAAGAAATTTGAAATTATAAAAGAATTGTACTAAGAAATGAAATTGAATTTGAATTAAATCTAAATTCGTAAATTTTTTATGTCCAAATGAGATATTTGGATCAAACTATAACATTAAGGATCGAGATTAAATTAATTTGACAGAGAGAAAATCCTATTCTTCACTTTAAATTCTGCATTAAATATGCAATAATGGTTGCCCCTTTCAATTTTGGACAATGAAGTTTCCATAGAGCAAATGGGGTCCTGTATTCCAATTTTTTCCTTCATTTTTTCTATTGAACTTTTTACAGAGTCAGTGGGTGTCTTGAACTTAATTTTAAGTCATTCTTATCATTGAACTGTTAATATTCGATGCCTCATTATCTTGCCATTTACTTGTTGCTTGTTGATCATTATTTGTTGAGGTGGATGCATTTTGTTGACTTTTTTTAGCCACAAATTATCTAAGTGAATGTGTTTTAGGACACGTCTCGTAGCTCTTTTAACGTTTAAGGGAGAAATGATCTAAATAATTGAGTTCAAGTTACTAAGTGTCACTAGACAAAGTGACCTTATTAAATTTGACTAGGCATCGACTTGGATGCCACATGGCCTAAAAAAAAGTCAACAAGAAACATCTTTTTGAGCAAATAAAAATCAACAAGTGGTGCATGACCTTATTATTGATGTACATAAATATTTGTTAATTTATAAATGACTTCTTGTTGAAACAAGCCAACACTTATTTCTTTCTATGATAAAATCCTGTCAGATTTTACTTATTAAATATATATGAGTATTTGTTAATTTATGAAAGGACACTTGTTTAAATAAGTAATTGATTTAGAAATATAAAAATTTACGAGAGAAATTTTTTTATACACAACATATACTAAATTTTTTATCAGATAATAAACAAGCTATTATGGCTTGGTGGCTCTATGACTTTTTGGTGACCGAAAGGCCTTAGGTTCAAGCCCCTTTGGCCACCTTGGAGATTTAAAAGGCTGCCAGTCATTGATGTTAAGAGATTTAGTGGCTGGCGGCCTCCTGTTGGTGTGCTTCTAATGGTCCTTATTCGCGATTAATATGCTTGAGAAGTCCTTTAATGTAATTTTCCCTTTAAAAAATATACAATGGATAGATTAAGTGCTCTGTTTTTTTCCCCCTGTTCTGTAATATTTCAAGAGTTTGCCGGATATATAATACCATGCTTCAAGAGTTCAAGCACAAGAAAGTAAATTATGATTTACACAAGAAATTGCTAGTCAGTGAAAGATGTGTTAATAAATGTGTGTTAAGCTTTTAGTTTTTTCGTCTCTGTATCTCTCGTTTCACTCAATAATAGAGTTCAGTGACATCCGGTCCTAGCAGGGAGTCATAGAGAAGAAAATAAGATCTCACGATAAGATCCATAGATAGCAATACTCATCATTGTATGATGAGTATTATAGATCCATTAGTCTTAATTTCACATCTTATATTCTTTTTTTCTCTTTCTTTGGCAAACGCTGATATGATTTTTCCGATGCAGATTGCAGTTTGGAGACAATCAAGAGCTCGAAGCCCTGCAATGGCCAACACTGTGCAGGGAGAATCTTCCGCAACCTCTTGTGCTTCTAATTCGACTCCGACTTGGAAATATGATGTTTTCTTGAGTTTTAGAGGAGAAGACACTCGCTTGAACTTTACAGATCACTTGTATCATGCTCTCAAAAGAAGTGGGATCACAGCTTATAGGGATGATGAAGAACTTGAGAGAGGACAAGTTATATCACCACAGCGCATTCAATCAATTAAGGATTCTCTCTGTGCAGTTGTCGTTCTCTCTGAAAATTATGCAAAGTCCACCTGGTGTTTGGATGAACTCCAAAAAATTCTTGAAAGCATGAATGGAATGGGTCGACCAGTTTTCCCCATATTCTATGAGGTAGATCCTTCTGATGTAAGACATCAAATAAAAAGTTTCGTAGAAGCTCTGGCTGAACATGAAAACACATTCAGAAAAAACGTCAACAAAGTGCAGAATTGGAAAAATGCGTTGTCTGAAATTGGCAAATTATCTGGTTGGAAGACCCGAAATCAGTATGTTGTTTTTCAACTTAACTATATTTTTAAGATTGTTGGTTTTTTTTTTTTTTTACTAGATCACAAGGATTTTAACTTTAAAATTCTTTCCACATCTCCATCCAATGCTTTAATTTATTTTATTTTAGTTTTATTCGCTTATGATGATTTTTCAAATTTTTTTGGTCCTTTCATTTTCCCCCAAAAATTTTCTCCGGTCAATCTTCCTTTGCTGAGAAAAAATATTGATAGTCTATATTCACGAAGAAAAAAAAAAGAATATTGATAATCTATTGTTAGTGAAACATTTGTTGGATCTGTTAATTTTAATTAAATTTCCATAAATTAATTACAAGTAATATTCCTTACTTTATGTGTTGATATGTTACTATTTGAAGTAAATTTCTTTAAACTATTTCCACCAACTTGGAGCAGGGGCGGCTGGCCGAAAAAAAAACAAAAGAAAACAAAACAAAAACAAAACTTTAAGCGGGGGGCGGGCGGAGCCAGCCTGATTTATTATTAATATTAATTTTTTTATATTTTTTTGCCAATATTAATTTTCGCTTTCATAAATTGTATTACACTGTAGACAATATTTAAATATTTAAGCTTTTATACAATTTTTTTAATAAAATATATACTTTTAAGTTTTAACACATCACTTACCTATAAAGCACAAATACTTTAAAAAAGTAAACATATTCCTATCCGATATGATGCTTATAAGATATTTTTAGCATACAAGATATTTTTAGCATACGTATTCAATATTTTAACACTTGTAATGTGATCTTTTTTTTCAATAATTTTTTATTATATCACTTAAAAATTAAAAAAATGTTTAATATTTTAGTTAATTGTTATAAATATCCTTATATTATTTTAAAAATTTTTGTTTAATAATTAAAAATACCTATACCTATATCATCAAATGTTGAAATATACATTATAGATATTCCCATATTTGTATTCTAAAATTTTAAAAATTTGCCGTATCATTATTTCATGTTGTATTGTAGTGGATACAACCTTGTCACTTACACTATAACTATTGTTATTATATTTTTTATTTATTTTAAAATTTAAAATTCAATTATTTTGATTTGATTGAAAAAATATCTTAAGTATATAAACTTAAATACTAAATTTCTTATAATAAATTTTGTACAACTGTTTATACCACTGGTTGAGGATTTTTTGGGGATAGGATAAAGTTTCAAATTTTATACAAAATTAAGTTAAACTATATAAGATGTTAAATTAAAAAATGTAAATTAGATAAAAAATATATTGGCACAAATTTTTCAATTTGTTATAATAATTTGCATGTGCTTTTCAGTTACTTTAATTTTTTTTAAAAAAACTAATATGTAGATACAAATATTGCATCATTCTTTGTTTATTGATGAAGAGAAAATCGATAAAAAATATTTGGAAAAACATAACTTTTAATTTCTGTATTTTGCTTGTATTTTGCTATTAGTCTCTTATTTTATTTTCGGTGTTTTTGGTCCCTGTAATTTTATTTTTTATTGTTTTAGGTCCTTCCAAAGTCTTTTTACTTTGTTCATGGAGGGACTTAAAACAATAAAAAATAAAAGTTGAGGGACCAAAAACACCGAAAATAAAGTACAGAGACTAATAATAAAACACAAGAAAAGTCAAGGATCAAAAGTTATGTTTTTTTAAAATAATTTTATGAACTAATTAATTGTATATTTTGTGATGGATCAAATCTAAATATTTCATAGTGTATAGTATATTATGGGTATGAAATATGTATATTATATTTGTATGTGTAACCGGAGGATGTTTGGTTGTGTGTGTGTGTGTGTGATAATGGGGAGAGGGTGCCGCCTCACCACTGTCATATTTGAAAGATGACGTTATCCCTATGTCACGATTGATTTTGCTTTTATATATTGTATTGTTGATGTTGATAGTCATTTATTTCAATGTGTTCAGAAGAAAATGAAATTTGAAATGATGAACGGATTAATTTAACCGAATGACAGAAAGAAAACGAGTTATTGATAAGTTTTTTTTTTTTAAAGAAAATCAACATCGATTATTTTATTCTAATGGGCAATTGGATCAATTCTTACTTGCGGACCAATTCACAATCGAATCGTCTCCCTGTAACTGTCAGCGACGTTATATATATTTTATGAAAATCATCTCCCCATCCTCATCATATCAAAATAATGTACTCTCGTTTTAACTGACAATATTCATGAAAAGTCCTATTTAGCATTATTATTTTACTTTATAATAACTATACATGTTATGTTGAACAATGTTAACCCCTTTGTAGGCATGAAGCAAATCTTATCGCAGATGTGGTGGGAAAGATATCTCGTTTTACTTTTAAGGTACCATCTTACGATGATAATCTGGTTAACATACAGCCAAGAATGATTGATCTAATGCCATGCTTGGAGATTGGGAGGGATAACGTTTGCCTTGTAGGAATATGGGGGATGAGTGGTGCTGGTAAAACAACTCTAGCAAGAGTGGTTTTTGAAAAAATCTCTGACGAATTTGAAGTGTGTTGCTTTCTTCCTAATGTTGGAGAAACTTTGCGAAGAGAAGGCCTAGTTTCTTTGCAAAAAAAAATTATTTCTCATCTAAGAATAAGAAACATGAAAATTTATGATGATCATGAAGGAATGAGCATGATGATAAGACAGCTTTTCTGTAATAAAAAGGTTCTTCTTGTCCTTGACGATTTAGATCATACGAGTCAATTGAAGAATTTGACTAAAAGTCCAAATTGGTTTGGCAAAGGAAGCAGAATAATTATTACTACAAGAGATATGCATGTGCTCACCTCAACTGGAGGGAAAATATATAGGATGAGAGCCATGGAGAAAGATGAGTCTCTTCAACTCTTTTCTAAGATAGCATTCAAGAAAGATCATCCTGAAAAGGATTATTTGGAGTTGTCTGAATCTGTGGTTGCATATGCAGGAGGTCTTCCTTTGGCACTTAAAGTTTTGGGTTCTTTTCTTTGCAAAAGAAGTGAAGATGAGTGGACCAATACTTTAGATAGATTGAAGCAAATTGAAAAAAGTGGAGTTCTTGATCAAATACTTAAAATGAGTTATGATGGATTGAATGAGAAAGAAAAGACAATATTTTTAGATATTGCTTGTTTCTTCAGGGGTTGGATGAAACATAAAGTAAACCAAGTTTTGGAAGGCTGTGATCTAAATCCAACAAATGAAAAAATTCTACTTGTTGAAACAAAACATCTTTGGGATGATCCCACTTTAGAGATGCATGATTTACTTGAAGATTTGGGCAGAAATATTATTCATCGAGAATCTCCCAATGTCGGGAAGCGTAGCAGGTTGTGGGAGTTTGAGGACATTAAGGAAGTATTGGAAAATAACACAGTGAGTCCTTTTTTTCTAAATATCTCTTTTTGTTAATGTACATCTAATGTTTTTAATATGCTTCACCTTCTTGTCATTTTCACGTTATTTTTCTGGAAACGAACATTTTTTTGTTAGGGATCTGAAGCAATCCAAGCAATTGTTATGCAAGATTATTGGAACTCAGATGCAAGAATAAAAGTGCATCCTGAAGCCTTTTCAAAGTTGAATAATATTAGATTATTGATCTTATCTGAGAATATTGATGTTCAACTCAGATTACCAAGGGAATTGGAACTTTCTAGCCTCCAATGTCCTTTTAGTGCATTGAAAGTTGTTCGATGGCCATCATTTCCTTTCGAAACTCTCCCACTTCCATTGCATAAACTTGTTGATCTTCAAATGCCTTCTAGCAAAATAAAGAAACTTTGGAATGGCATAGAGGTGAGATCAATGATTCATATGCATCATTGTTTGTCTTGAAATATATGTGTCCATGTTTTATTGATAAATTGTTTAGTGAGACTAAATCTCCATTTTTTTATTTGACCAGTTCATGAAAAAGTTGAAACGCATTGATCTAAGCTATTCTAACAAATTGATCGAAACTCCAGACTTCTCAGGGGTTCCATATTTAGAACAATTAATTCTTTTGGGATGCGAAGCCCTTGTCGAGGTTCATCCTTCTCTAGGAGAGTTGATAATGCTTGTCAAGGTGGACTTGTCTTCCTGTGAAAATCTTGAAATCCTACCAAGTAAATTGGAAACAAATTCTCTAGAAAGGTTAGATCTAAGTTGCTGTGGAAAAGTTGCGATGCTACCAGAGATTGGGGAAGGCATGGAAAAATTATCATATCTTGATGTGAGTGATACTGCTATAACTACACTTCCAAAATCACTTGGTTCCTTAACTGGTCTTGGATATTTGGATTTGAGTGACTGCAAAATTCCTGATCTTGGCAAGTTATTGAAGATTTCTGTGACACGCCAAATTTATGGCTTGAATCTAACATCATTAACGGAGTTATATTTAAGGCGGTGTGGCTTAAATGATGGATCAATTCCTGATAATCTTGACAGTTTATCATCACTCATTGTATTGGATCTAAGAGGAAATGATTTTGTTAATCTACCCACGGGCTGCTTCTCTAGTCTCTTTCGACTTCTCTATCTTTTTTTGGATGGTTGCAAAAGGCTCAAGTCATTGCCATGGCTTCCAGCACGGGTGATTCGGTTAAGTGCAGACAGTTGTGATTCAATGGAACCTTTATCAGATGAACAACTATGGAATTTGGTTGTTTCACGTGACCATGAGGTATGCTTGTCTTTCTTATACAATCTATGTACTTGATGATTTATGTGCATTTTTAAACTATAAATACATAACATAAATAACTATTTTATAGTATCGTGGGCGAACTGAATATGTAAAAAGTTATGAGATGTCTAGTGATATACATCCCCCATTTTTCATGTTGGAGCACGTTAAGGTATATTTCTATCTTTGGTATTATTTTCACATGCTCTCATTATGAGTTTAATGAATGTGAATAACAGTTTAGCAATGTTGCAGCCGGAATTTCTTCCCCAAAGAGATTTTCTGGCAATCATACCAGGATGTGAAATACCATCTTGGTATACAAATAAAGAATATTATCCTTTGGAAGAGAACGTTAAGGAATGTGAGATAAAAGTGGAGATACCTCAGCATTTCCGTGAAAGTGAGTGGTTACGAATGGTTGTATGCCTCCATGTCTCAGGTGAGGGTGGTGGGATTTGGTGGAGTAGTAAAGGTGCAGAAGATGATGATTATATATGCAAAGAGTGGGGGCATGTTATTGACCCTAGTGAGCGTGATGATGATGAGACTCGTCCTAAACGGTGCATAATAATGGTGTTGGAATTAAATGAGAAAACATGTTGGCAACATCTCACATCTCATAACAACTCCCTTCACATTTTACTTTCTACTTCCGAAAGCATTGGTGGTCAATTTGACATGAAAATAATGGGATGTGGCTGGTGGAGAGTGATACGTAAAGAAGAGATGCCAGAGTGTTGCATTCTCAATCATTTCACCCAACCACCACTACTTGCTCCTCCTCGTCATCAGGTCATGCTTTCAGAAACTCTCCTTGACCAAGTTGCTAGAAAAGTGTGGGGGAAAGGGAGAAGACAGATAAGAGGTAACCGATAACTCATCTTCTTCTTACTCTCCCTCCCTTCTAAAATAGTTTCCATTTTAGATTTTCAAAAAACAAATTATTTCATTAAGAATTATATATATATATATATATATCATTTAGTAAATGAAAATGCTTATTAATAATAAAAAAGTGTTTCCAGTGACTAAGGGTATTTAAATAAAATACCATTAATGTATTTTGATAAAACTTCATCAATTTCTATATTAACTTTCTTAATCTATGTACAATTCTAATGTCACAATTATTTCAGAGCTGAGGGGCTATTATCCTATTTAAGCTCTTCTCTACTTAAACTATTCTTCCGACGACTTAACTTTTCTTTAAAATTGCTGAAAACCATTTACAGGTGCGTGAAATAGTTAGAGCAGTGGATGTAGAAGAATGCAGAAGGAGGTAATAATAACTCATCTTCTTGCTCCTTCCCTTCTATAATATTTGTCATCTAGCAAATGAAAAATGCTTATTCATAATCCAAAAAGTGTTTCCAATGAATAAGAGTATTTAAGTAAAACACCATTAATGTATTTTGATAACACATCTAATTATATATTAACTTAATCTATATGCAACTCCAACGTCAAAATTATTTCAGAGCTGAGGGACTATTATTTTATTTAAGCCCTCTTCAACTTTCACCTCAACTATTCATCCGATTACTTACTTTTTTTTGAAATTGCTGAAAACCATTCACAGGAACAAGTGATGAAGGAGTGCACGTTTCACATGCAAGGTGATCAAATGATCATGTGGTTTTTCATATATTGCATTATTTATTCAGCAATCAAGTACAATTAACTCGAGTTAGCTTTTTGATTGAGGACAATGAACAGGATGACATGTGATGGTTTTCCCCCCTTCTCTCCTACTAAAAAGTATTAATCAAATAAATATCTTAACATGTCATTGGAGAATGTTATTTTGTTTGAAATGATCTTTTGAAAATATAAATGAGTTATCAAACAACATATTGGTTGTGTGTTGATAAAACGGTGAATTAAGTATTATTCAGAAAAAATTAACGAAAATGGTTGACTTTTTGTAAATTAATTAACTAAAGTATAATTTTGTTATAACAATTGAACAATGAATTTATAAAGGAAAGAATGATGTCAATATAAACGGTAGTCAAGAATATTGTTAGTCTTTTTTAATATTTTGTAGATATAAATGCAACTGTAACAATCTCATATTTTATTCATTTATAACTTAAAATATGAAAAGTTGTGAAATAAATTTCTTTAATTTAATTTTAAATGTTATCATATATTAGAGAGATTTTAATAATAAAATTAACTAAATGAGAAAATTTGGAAAAATTCAATATCATTATCTAGATTGAATGTCACGTGTTTCACAATTTTGACTTCATACAAATATAAGAGGAATTTTTTAAAGTTTGATATTAAACTAGATATTAGAAAAATAATTGCATGATGAATTTTAAATAAAGATGTCTTCAAGAACTTGAATAAACATAATAAAATTGGCTTATTAGACATATGTAAGATTTATTTGAATATATTAATCTTTAATTTAAAGAATATAAACGTTGTAATAATGAATTCTCTTATATTGTGGACGTGAAAATATCATTAATAGTTAAAAAAATATTAGTATACAAAATTTATATCCATTGTATTAGAAGTTGTAAGTTATTGAAATCATTTCAAATAAATTTTTTACGCATATTAATATTTTAATAGGAGCAAGCAATGTTTATTTAGAGCATTAAGCATGATGACGAACAGCAGAAAATTAATCATGACAAGATACTTTACAAAATTATTTGTCAGCATTCTTTTTTATCATGATAATATTATCGATGACAAGATTGTAGTAATAATGTCTACTATTTATAATTATTAATCAAAGGTGACACTTGAACATTTTATTAGGAACTGAACTGAAGTGCAAATTTTTTAATAATATATATGTCAATCATGATTGGGACGATTTGAAGGGACTCTTTCTACTCTCTCCCCTACTTTCACTCTCCGTTGGTTAAAATTTGAATAAAATATATACTAACATTCTTTATACTTAATTCAAATTATGGAGACCTCATTTTTATTTTATAATGATGATATTTTATTTTGACCAAAATGCCCCTCTGTAACATTTATAGTGCTCTACAATCATTTAAACTCTTATCTTTGTCCAAAAAATAATTTTAACATATATTTTCGCATTTCTGTTACATTATTAAGATGGCTAATTTTTATCATATTATGAGTTGAATTTTTTTCCTGTGCATAAATTTTTATCCGTCCAATAATTTAAATATGTAAACTAACTTATTTATTAATCAAAGAATATATTTTCAATTATTTTATAAGATTATTAAATGACATAATTTTGAACATGTGATATTATTATGTTATTTTTATAATTTAAAATAATATTATATATTTCTTTAGACTTATATTTGTTAAGAAATTACTCATAATTTCAATCACATTGTTTTTCTTTGTTTAAAAATTAATTAAATTTTGTCTATGCTTACTACAAGATTAAACAGATAACTAATAAATATTAAAAAAATTATTAAAAGGTAAATTAGAGATTCAGTACGAAGATTGGTTAATTAGTAAATAAAATTTATTCAAATATAGTTTTCCATTTAAAAAAATATATTTCTGGAAGTTAAAAAATATTTTTAATTTAAAAATATTTATGAATAACAAATATGTTTAATTTTCGTTTCAAGCTCTTAAATATTATGTGCTTATTTCATATAAATTTTGTTGATACGCGCTTGTATTAATAAAAAAATTATTTTAAAGACTTAAACAAAAATGGAAAATAATTTAAAACCCCACCAATTGCACAAATTATTTTGTAAACGTAATTAAATTTTTACATGTATTTACTAAAACTAGACCTTATAATGTTTAATTTGATAAGACAAGAGAAGAGAAGAGGAAAATAATTTTCACTGCATGATTAAATGTAATGTAATTAATTTGATAATTTACACCGCATGCAAATACACAACTTCTGAGAGAATTAATATTAAATGTTTTAGTTTCTCAAAAGGTGCTACAGTGAGAGACTTTTGATTGAAAAATCAATGATGAATTTAATAGTGAAATATTAGAAACTAATAGTGAAATATTAGAAAAATAGTTTTGCAGGTTTTAATAAGATAATCAATAATTTAAATCTTTAAAATTTAATCCTTCCCAATATTTGAAGTGACTGAGAATTAATTTTTTACTGTCAGGCATTGAAATTGGTATTAGGAAAATAGTTTTGCAGGTTTTAATAAGATAATTGAAAATTTGAATATTCAGAATTTAATTTTTTCTAATATTTGAAGTGTCCGGGATTTAATTCTTACTATCAAACATTGAAACCGACATTAAGATACATCCAAATTCAGATTTTGAAATCATTATAAGAAAAGAAAATTGACAAAAAATAGATTATTAAAATATTTTCAAAAATGAAAAGAAAATTGAATTCTTCAACTATTGAAGACGCGTGTATAAGAGTTGTATAACAAGAGCACTTTTCTAGTATGTTTATATAGTCTTTGCTTTATATACTTTTTTTTATCTGTATTAGTAAGCGGGTTATTTTTCTTCTTAAACCATTTTGTAGATGAGCAAAAATCTCCTTTCATTAACTGATCACTAATGGAGGGAGATTTTTGCTCCTCTGAAAAATGATTTATGAAAAAAAAACATTTCAGTTGTTAGTATAAGATGACTAGCACTCCTCAAAGAAAAGAAAAGTACAGGAATAAAAATACATTTTAACCTATTTAATTATTAGTAGTTCTTCAAGGGAAAAAAAAACTTCTTATCATGATAGTGCTAAAATTAATTTATATATCTGAAAAATACTAGTGATAGTTTATTCAAGTAATTCTTAAAAATTTAAAATTGTAAGTAAACAAATAATTGAGGCATAGACTTGACCCAGTAACATTCCTCATATTTAAACAAATTCATAAAGTTGTATAAAATAAATATAATAAAATTTGATTAAGTTTAGTTCAGGTTTTCATAGACAAAATCCTGTATTAAACCAATCCAATTAATTTTGTTAACAAAAAAATTAAACTAAACTTTATTTATAATCATTTTTAATTTTGATTCGGATGGATTTTGAACACATGCCAAGATGCCCTCTCAACTTCAAATGCTATCATTTTTACAACATCTTTACTTTATTGATGCGCAGATGATATGACAGATCACGTGATGATGTATTTTACGCGGTGCAGGCCTTCTCTAATTTTCTTAAAAAATTACCCAAAATTCCATGTAATGTCAATGTATTCTTAAACTTAATTATATTCTTTTTTATATTTTAATTTCATTTCTCATTCCAGTTCCTTAATTTTTTGCTCCCTTCAAGAAACCGAAAAAAAAAAAACATTCTTGGTTGGTCCTTTACTTGTTTATGGATTTTCCTTCCTTCAAAATAATCAGAGCTCGCTGTCATGATAATTTCACCGAAAGTCTATGGAATTTGTTTTGTTTTTATGTCGTCTATTTTTCTAGATTTTATCTTATGTGGAATAGTTGTTTTTTTTTTGAATTAGAAATGTATTTTAAAATTTCAAACTTAAAGACACTAAAAATAATTGGGGCCAGCTACTTGACGTGTGTTTAGATAACGTTTTTAATTGATTATTTGAGGGTTTAATAGATTAAAAATTAAAATTATCCAAACACTCGTTTTATGGGTGAATTTTTGGGTAATATTTTTTTTGAAAGCTGAAAAGATGAGCTTTTGCAAAAAAACTAAACAAAAATGTTGAAAAAAATTATAAAAAAAGCCCAAGAAAAAATTATAAAAAATACATAATTTAATAAAAATAAAACCAAATTCTCTTTTCTTCTCTTTTTTTTTAATAAAATTCTAACTTTATATCCTCAAAAAAATTACTAATATAAATTGCTGTCAACCATCATTCTTTACTTAGCACTTACTATAAAATTAATTCAAATAAGATATTAATTTGTAGAGAAAAATTAATTTAAAATTTAGAGTCATGACAAAAATTATTGTAAAGATTAAGAGAGAGAGATTTTGCATCATTTGTGATATTGCTACATTTTTTATGTTGCCAAAATTTTAAGACAGTACTTAATATTTTCATCAAATATGACTCATATTCATAATGTCATTGGAGATCAATTTGTATATTATTATCTTCATTAGTTATTATAAAATTAATGTTTGGTATTTAAGAATTAAATCTTTCTCTTTTATTAAATTTATTTGAACTAAGATATATTGAGTTATTTATTTACGTAAATCAAATTGTTAATATTAATGTAATTTAAACTTTATAATTAATCAGATATGTAGTTTAAATAATATATTTTACTTCTTAAATAAAATGTAACAACTTTAATAATATTAGATACAAATTTATCAATAATTTAATTTTAAAAAGCAATATCCTTTATGATAATTTATATAGCTAAAATTAATTTTAAAGAAATTATCCAAATATCTTCAATTCTGTTAAAATTAATTTTAAAAAAATAATATCTAAATAAATTGCGTTGTAACATAATTAATTATGATTAAAATTTACTACTTAATTAATTATTTTTATAATTTATTATATTTAATTGAAATTTAAATAGGCACTTAAAATATATTCAGTCTTTTCAAACACAGTCTTTTACTCTTTTCAGACCCCAGTCTATTGAAGGCCATCCCTAATTTTCATCTACAATTTCAATTTTACGGCATTTGCTGATTTTTTTAAAAAAAATTTTTCCATTTAACAATGTACTTACTACTTAGCATTTGATGGTGGCTAGCCATTGTCATTGAGCCAAGCAAACGCTGCCTCATATTTATAATGGAAAAAATTACAATAAAAAATCGTTAAAAAAAATTTTGTATATTAATCAGTGACCACTTGCAGGGGCAGA